CCACAACTCTTTGGGCCTGGCCAGCCAGCTAGTTTTTAACCTAGTGAAGAGTACGCCTGTCCAAGCCATGAGCAGCCAGTTTCTCCAGGAGAATGCTGTGGAAACCGGTGTCAAAGGCTTTACTAAAGTCCACGTAAACAATATCCACAGCCTTTCCCTCATCCACTAAGTGGGTCACCTTGTCATAGAAGGAGATCAGGTTAGTCAAGCAGGACCTGCCTTTCATAAACCCATGCTGACTGGGCCTGATCACCTGGTTGCCCTGTACGTGCTGTGTGATGGCACTCAAAATGATCTGCTCCATAACCTTCGCCGGCACCGAGGTCCGGCTGACAGGCCTGTAGTTCCCCGGATTCTCAAGAAAACCTTTCTGTAACTGAATAAAATCTTGTAGCTGTCTTCGCAGAAAGCATTTCCTATGGTTTTGGACATCAAATAACAATGAAAAACAACAGATACAGTTTTCCAAACCAGCTCAGAAAAATTATAGACACAGAGGTAATACACTCATACATGCTCTATGAGATTCTTACCTTCAAGAACTGGATTTGACTGCAAAAGTTGTTCTTTTACTTGATTAACCTCTGCCCCTTTTCCACACACAGCAGCTACATATGACATGACAAGTTTGCTTGCCTCTGTGGGGGGAGAGCAAAATAAAAGCGATAAGTATTGGCAAATAGGCCATAAAATGATTTGCAGACTTGATCTCCATCACATTTCCACCGTGCCAGACAGGAACTGTAAGTACATTTCATTTCAGTTTTCTTCTACATTGTTGTACCATCTGGAAATGAGGAAGGAGCACATCCTGCTATGAGACCCATGCCATTACATCAGCAGCCCCATTGACTTAAACACCTAGCGCTCTCCCAAGCTAAAGAAGCCACCAGTGGATATGGCACATTACCCGCTACTTTTTCATTTAGCCTCAGTAAGAGGCATTCAGTAAGGAAAGAACATTATCTCCAGCTGACACTTTGGAAATGTTTTAATCTAGCCTGAAAAAATAGGCCCAAGGAGTTTCAAGACGCAAAATTCAATCAGTTTACATCAGCAGATACACAATAACAGAAGTGTAAACATACAACACTATACACATGTAATTACAACTGTAAAGTACACTACAAGTAAATGAGTAACTGCAATTCGACATCACCTAACATTATGCAGTCTGTTTCAAAGTAAAATGAATAGAGAAAACGAAGCATTCACTTAAACAATGAAACTAAGATACAAACTTTTAACAAAGTCTGGAACAATTTTTGGACTCTCAAAGTTGGGTTCATATGGGTGTCAATCACCCATATACAGACAGAAACAAATACTAAATAATCCATCCAACCCTTACGTTTTTGCTGGTCAGGACAAAGAGCAGCTGAAAGAGGATTCTCTTTATAAATAGTCTGTGATGTTCAGTATGATGCAAGATAGTGAAATTTGAGGCAATATCAGCTGATATACAATGTAATTACTAACAGCTGGAATCCCTATCAACTCAACACAGTGGTCATCAAAAAAACATGACTTGTTCTTCAGAGATCTGTTACAAATTTAAGGGTTTCATTTCAGGAAAGAACTGACAAGCAAGAAGTTATGCCTTGGATTTTGATTCTGTCCTAGTTAATCAAATTTGTTTGCTAGTATTAAATTACTACCCCACATTGTAGAGAAAACTGAGCAAACCTGCAACACAGGAAGCAAGCAAGGAGCAGGAACTGTATGTGTGTCCATAAGGCCTCCCATCTCCTTTAATTGCACGTTAAACCCAGCTCTCAATTTTAAGAATCCATTCCCTTCAGAGCTTGGAACTACCAAATTATTTGATTTGAAATATTTCCTAAAGCAGTCAACGTCTTTAAGTAAAGCTACTCAATCACTGAGAGAAGAAAGTACTGAAGCAGCAAATAAGGTATTATAAAATAATATGCATTAAGACAACACACAATGACTTCAAGATAGGCTTTGAACATCACTGAAAGAAAACAAAGGCCCTTTCTTTTATTAGGAACTCTGTTTGGTCCAATAAAGACACCAGGAAGGGAATCATCACCTTAACATCTAAAAACATTTAAATACACCACTCATTCTGGTAATGTACCATGTTTTTTCGCACAATGTTACTATCGACTAGCAATATAAACACGCAGTGAAACAAGAACAAAATTGGAAGCAAATAAAAAAACCCAACTGATGACAGCTCAGTTTCAGTTCTTCCAGCCCAAACATGTCAAATGTTCTGGTTACCAAAAATCTAAACCAGAGTTATATAGGATCTGTACTAACGAGTTTGTTTCCTCAACCCCAGGAACTTCCTCCCCTGCCCCCCTTTTTTTTCTTTGCAATGGAAACTTGACTTCTCAGCTAATAGCCCCATTTCAGCAACAGTAGTTCCATCAAATGTTAGAGAGAGAAAAGCACAGATTCTGAGTCGATTGTTGACTTGAATTTCAAACCCTGTATTATTCTGTACTTACCTTTATAAAGGATTAATTCATATTAAGTCCCAAATGGCTATGAAAATAGAGAGTCAAAATCTCTATGCAAATCTGAATCTACCAGAATATTCTCTACAAATAGAGACGATAGGAAACTCAACCACTGCTACACCTTTCAACTAAATAAATAAATGAATAAAAGGTGGACCTCAGTTGTATGAGATGCTTGATAATTTAGTTTCTGAGCAAATCAAAACATTAAACAATACCAGTACAGAACTCCTTTCTAAGTTTGAACTCTTAGACAGAATCCCTACCAATCATATTAATAAGAACTTATTTTAATATACACTTTTACTGAACACACATGTGTTTTCATGTTACTGAACTGAAAAAAAGGATTATATTACAAGATTTCAAGACCTCTCAATTGGATGCCACTAATCAGACAAAGAAAAAGAAAGATGAAGGCTACAATTTACATTTTCACAAAAGGCTTGGAAAGCAACTTCTTGTTACCGACTTTAAGTCTTGCTCAGTATAAGCATACAAAGCTCCACATTTTCTCAGATTCAAAGGAAAAATCTTTTAAATTACATGGAAACAGATGTATGCATTCCTACCCACTGTGTCTTTTGCAAGTTACCTCAGTTTTAAATTGTTATTTCAGAAAAGAACTGGTTTCTTTCTTTTTTAAGGTCTATCTAAAATGTTCTGCAGTTATGCAATCCTCACTTGATTTCTACCATTCTGGTTTAAAAATTAGCAGTCATTTTCAAGGCAATTTCAGCTTTGCCTGAGAAACACAGTGTTCCGGTACACAAGCCAATCTTGGAATTGCAGCTGAGCACAGCATGCAAAAGACTGATGAAATTTCCAAACTATTCAGCTACCATTATTTATTTTCCTTGGATAAATGGCATAATCCAGTTTAAATGTATAGATTTATTAGAAGATATGCAAAAGTATCAAAGGATTTTCTTCCAGTCTAGAAGATCAAGAAGATTCAGTTTTCTCCGTCTTCATGTTTCCCACAGGGAGAGCCTAAAGGTTTTCTTCTGGCCTTTGCAATACTCTTATCACAAACCAGCATTACTTTCGTATGAATTTGCATACTGATGAGGATACTGTATGAACACACGATAGGACTGCATCATGGTGACAATGTGAAAAAACACTAGTTTATGTAAGTTCCTACAGCAACAAGCGTGACAGCATTCATTTTCTGCAATCGCCAGACACGGAAAGATACTGGTATCTCTTTCCGGAGTCTAGCATCACTTTGCAAGACTCCGAATAAGCCTGAATGTTTTTGAATAAGATCAAAACTGCTTATTACCTGTTTTTCCAGCTCCACTCTCTCCTGTAATAAGGATACACTGGTCTTTGTCCTGGTCCCTTAAAGATCTGTATGCTTCATCTGACAGAGCAAAGCTGCAAAGTAAGAAAGAGTCAAGTGAGAATAGATAAAACAAATACCAACAATAACTAGAATCTGTCCTTCACATCCAGGTGGGGGTGAGGGGGGGAACCCAAACAAACAAAAAACCCCCAAGTCCTAATAAGTGGTGAAGCATTCACTTTTCAGAATATAAAGACCCACAGAAGCAAAATGGATACTTTTTCTCAGTGGCTCATTTAGACTTTCTCCAGGAACAAGCAAGCATAATCTCTAAGTTTTTCTAAAGATAGCACACTCAAAACAAATTCACAAAATTTCAGGGAAATTTAGGTAGCGTTCTTCATTGAACAAAATGTCAATGCATCATCAGGACATGTTCTGTCTGAAGACAGTTAAGAAAAAGGAAAGAGGAGAATCCTGAGCACTAACAATAGCATAAGCTGCAATTTCTACTCTGAAAAGTATGAATAAATGTCAGAACCTTATAAAATATTGAGCATTTTAAGCATTTGGGTATTGCCGGACTTTTGCATAAATATGCAGAAGTGTTTCCCAATAAGTGTGTTCTTAACTCAGTAAGGCTGATGTCATGCAGTGAAATTAAAGAATATAGTAAGAATCAACAGCTTTCCTGTACCAAAAATGTCTTTCCATGCAGCTCAGAACATCATGATCCTGAAACTACCGGGCTGCAATTTGAATCCAGAGGTGCTTTGTTGCCATGCAGCAACATGTATTTCGGAGAAATGCAGATGTGTTACTTATATTTAGGTTTTTTTAGTAGTAATTTTGAGACAGAGAAAGAGTAGTATTGGTTTTGTTTCAACTGCATTTTTCAGCTCATGGAATAAAGAACTCTGGAAACTGAGCATTAGAAGCCCTTGGAAAAACTTAAGCAAGTCGTATCTGGAAAAGGACATAAAAGCAAAATCCAAATAAAAAGGCACACTTGCATTATACAACTTAAAGAAAAAATTTGATAGCCAAACACGGCATATTTTTACATTAAATAAACATCCATTCCACAGACCAAGAGCTTTGTTAGATTACTGCACCTAGTAAAATATTTAGTGTTTGTATGTACTTAGAAGTGAATATTGTTTATTATTTACAGTAAACAAACCATGTATGACAAATAGAAATGAACTCTCAGGTCAACATAAAATGCATAATCATTGCAGGTTCAATGCACCTTTTAGAAACTTGATTCTCTATTCTATGACAGTTCAGGAGCTTTGCATTCAGCTGATTACAAATAGATCAAGTATTTGTTTTGAATAACGCAGCCATATAGTGCTTTCACAGGCAATCACAGCCCCTTTATAGATAAGCAAGCTCTTTGTCATGAAACTAGTTAGGGGCAGTGTGGACAACACAATGCAAGTAGTGAGAGCCGCAGAGAGCCTTTTCCAGAGGCTCCTATTGCCACAGCTTGAAAGCTTTAAATATTAAATCTACATATACTCAAATCAGTTCATACATATTTCGTTTTTGCTACCACTGTTCCTTAGCTCAGGCAGTTCTTCCTTCTGGCTTCTCTCCCCAGAAAAGTTTATATGGAGAGCATGTCATATTGTCCCCAATTTAATCATTACATGCATGTGCAACACCATTTATACTTCCTCATCCCCCACCAGTATTAGATTCATCTCATATTTGCTTTTTTGGGTTTTCGTTTTGTTTGCTTGTTTGTTTTTATGGTTGCATCATGTTATCAGCTTAGCCATCCTGCAAGAGACCAGCATACCAAGTGAGTGGTATTCTGAAAAGGCTGGAAAACAAGTAAATGAAATACCTTACGGCTCCTTTACTACTAAATAATCACACCTTCCCCTCCCTCCCTAGTTCCTGCCAATGATGCTCATGTCAGATTCCCCGTCTTTGTGTCCCTCCTGTCCCCTTCTCTCCTGCAGCACATCCGCCTGCCTAGTTGCGTGACCAACCCAGGGCTCCGTCTCTCTCACTGCTTTTCTTGCCAACTTACATTGTCTAAGGCACTAAATTACAATTCTTCTCTCTGCACAGATGGTTGGGCCATCCACTTAACAACCACGATCAAAGGTCATTAACTCCTTTTGATACATATACCATTGAACCCAAATTAAGACTGATCTCTCAAAACTTAATACTGCTATGGTGATTGAAGCATTTGAAGTCAGTAGTTCAACTGGAGGTGAAAATGTGTTTACGAGAAAGTAGCAAGGCTGTAATGTTTTTAGCATTACAACAAAGTCAATTTGTGATGTGGCCAACATGCTGGAGAAGTAGCAAGATAAAAATATTCTGCTGCTGCTGAGAGACCATGACACAATTTCTGGCATCCACTTTACTGTCCGGAATCCAAACTACAGTAGCAATAATACTTTACCAGACTCTCTTACAGGACATATTTAGGAAATGAATAATATTTGTTGAAAACTGCTGCAGATATACTTGTAAATTGAAGAGTACAATGCGTGGCACTCAGAAAAGCTTGTTCCATTACACATTACATTCCTTTTTGCAAGGAAAAAAAAAGCACTAGGATGAAGAGGAAAGAAATGAAACTGCACTGAGCATTCATGGGCCATGTGAGAGCACGTTAATACCAATGCCGTGGTTTCCATGGGTTTGATTCAGGAAACTGGCTTTCAGCAGG